ATATACCCCTTTCATCTGGCACGCTTTTTTTGTAAATCGGATCATACCCCTTTAACAAGGGGGGTCAAAACTTTAAACATGCGTATTGTTACTAAGATATTTTCAATTTAATTTTTGAAAGTATTCCGGAAATACTGACACTTTTATATATATCTTAAATTAAAGCTTATGTAATATACTTTAATGTGAAAAAAAAAATTTGACCTCTGGATTTGTCTTCATGGTAAAAATGACTACCGTATTCAAAAATATGCTATATTTGTGTTAAAATTCTGGGTTTTGTATTTTATTTTATTTTAAAATACCTGAGAAGGGGAGTATAGATTTTCATAAACATTATATAAATTAAAATTAATATATCATAGAAAGTTAAACTTATTTAAATTTGTTTGCTTCTTTGAAGTTGAGAAAAATAACTTTAAAATTTGAATTAGCTTAAATAACCAATTTTTTCATCTTACTGCATCGACGTATGGTTGCTGAGTTGGTAAAACTTATGTTTTACACGCTTGGGGTACGAGGTTCCAACCTGTGTATGGCAAAGAATTTTTTGCATTTTTTCTTAATTCTTTTTAAGTTATTTTATGAAAAATTTTTGATAAAGATTTATGAAAGTTTATGGCAAAAAAAATTGAATATATTACCATAACTTTTAGCTCAATTACAAATTTAAAATTGACATCTAGGCCAGTTAACAAACGAAAAATTTCTTAAAAAATTCCCAACCAAATTTTGTTTTATTAATAGTTGAATTAAAATATGTATAATGAAATACTAATAGTCTTCATTGATTGAAATTGAGCTTTTTTTTACAGCCTCGCAAAAGTTCAAAAATATGAGCTTTTTTAATGTTTTCAAAAAATATTTAACTTACAAAAAAAAGTTTCGTACAAAAGTTGTTTAAAAAACAATTATAAACAAACAAATTATTTATAGTTTTTCATTTAAACAAATATTTTTCGAGTTACATTACATTTAATATGAGTACTAAAATTTATATTCCATTTTTTTCATTTTACGGTTACTTTTTATCATGTTACACTTACGTTAGACACAATGTTATAAATGCATATGTGTGTATGTGTGAGTTTATTTATTTATTGTATCATTAAAGTGTAGTGTATATTAATATACAAGCGATAGAGTAGGTAATTGATTTGACGCTATATTATTTAAACCCAACTAAACGCTAAATTGTACATTCCGAAACAACAATCATATTATGTCAATTGCCACCGGAATTTCTGGTAATATTTTTCTTTTTCTTTGCCTTAATCCCAACTACTTGGGGTCGGCCACCCTTATCCTAAGCTTCCACTTGACACGATCTCCCACATCTTCTACGCTCACATCAGCTGTCCTCAAATCGCATTCAATAGCATCCCTCCATCTCTTTTTTGGTCTTCCTCTATCTCTTCTTCCTTCAACATTCATTTCTATAACTGTTCTTACAGCTTTCGATTCTTCTTTCCTCATACCATGACTAAACAATCTAAGTCTATTTTCTGTCATCTTATCCACGATTGACGCAACACCTATACTTCCTCTTATATGCTCGTTCCTTATCCTATCTTCTCTAGTCACTCCACTCATCCAACTAAGCATTCTCATCTCTGCTACACTTATTCTCTGCTCTACTTTCTTATCAACCGCCCAACACTATGAACCATACATCATAGCTGGCCTCACAATTTCATACTGAATTTGAAAACTATAATTAGTCTTTATTCATATATTATATTTTAAAATCAAAGTACTACTAATCAGAATATAATTAAAGAAATAAGAGTTGATGTTGCTTTTGGAATAATCCACCAATTTCTCTAAATGAAACACTATCTACAGATTTGCATCGAAGCGTTTCTTATGATAGTGATTTTAATC